CTTTTTTTCTCTCTTTCTAAATATTTTTATTTTTTTTTTATAAACATAGTATTTATTTTTTTCCTTATATAGAAGTAAGAGATAAACTATTCTGCCCAAACCTAGATGAAAGAAGTTTTAAAAAGAGAATAGGTAGTCTTGATGGGCTAGCAGGAACCTTCTGTTGATATATTTTTTCTTTTAATTGCAGAAAGAAATTTTATAGAGAAAATCTCTACTTATAGCAGATCACACATAGGTGTTTTTTGAATAACTGAGTGAGCTAAAACTTGTAAATTAGGTGTCACTAGGATTAGTCCTTTGAAAAATTTTAATATTTCTTAGAATATTAATTGTTCTAATAAAGTTGAGGCAAGATTGCCAAATTGTCAAAAAAAAAATATAATAATATCTATTATATAGAAGTAGTTAACTTTTTTAGATATTCAAATACCTAAGAGTCTTATTATCTTATTTATTTTTTATTTTGTAACTTTTTTATTAGTTGTTCTCATTTCTATATATCTTAGTATTTTTTGATCTTTTTTATCTATTACTAGAAGCTTTGATTTTTTACTATTAATTTTAATATTATTTATTTTATAAAACTTATATGCTATGTTGGTGATTTTTTTTAGCTTTGCTTTACTAAATATAATAAAAGTAGTATTATTTGTATATACAATGATTAGTATATTTATATATTATATATATATCTTTATTTTGCTAATAGCAATTTTTTTAAAAAATAAATTTTTTATGTGAAAACCTGAAAACCTAATTAGTTTAGAACAATAATTATTAATCGATTCCTGATTTATATAAAACTCTAATAATTGTTATCAATAAACAATTATATAAGACCAACTCCTGTTCAAATTAGTTTATAATTGACTGATAGTCATGCAAGTGATTTTATTTATTTTTTTTTTGATGGTCCTTTTACCCATTTGTTTTGTGATACATATCTTTTCTAACAGTTTTGCAACTCTGTCTATTAACAGAACAATTTATTAAATTTCTGTTATTAAAATTTTGTTTTAATCAATCCTATAATATTAATTTTTGACTAAATATTAAATGTTCTTTGGCTATGCTCTAGACAATTAAAGTTTGTATTTTAATACTTTTTTTTTTTCTTAAAATAAAAATAGACTCAAAACATATATATTGAAAAATGCAAGACTTATTATTCTTTGCAGATTAATATTCAAGAATCATATTGCTTATCCTTATTTCTCTTTCATAAAAATGATCAAGGTTTTATTCCTGATATTCATATCCGCTGCTCTGCCAAATTACTATGAGAAACTAGGATATAGATTTTAAAGTTACAACTATAAATTTGATATTGGTATTGAGAAGAATGCAAAGCAGGCTTTTAAATATTATATAAGAACAGCTAAGTTAGAAGATCAGATGCGATAAATGATATTGGTCTTTGTTATTGTTATGAATTGAAGTAGAAATAAATTATCAGAAATAATTAGAATAGCATTAGATATCTGCTAATTTCAATTGTGTTGAGTTAGTATGTAGTATTGGTATGCATTATGAACATGAAGAAGGGGTAATTGATCAAGATTATAATAGAGCATTTGACAGTTAAGGAGATAATAAAATAATATGATAAAACTTGATAGAACTACTGTAAAAACTAAAGTAAAAAAGTTTTACAAAAATATAAAAAAAGACAAATATATAGGTTATAAGAAATATAAAAAAAAAAAGAGTGTAAACAAAAAGGGCTATGTTTTAAGTACAAACAAAAGGGCTATATAGCAAAAATGTGCTTTAGCAAACAAATCTCAAACTTTGAAACTTCTTCAAGTACAAATACTAATATTAAGCAAGCAAACTTGATTGAAAAAAAAGTTAATATTTGTAGTAAAAAAAAAGAAAAACATCTACAGATAAAAGAGAAGATTAGCAAAAAGAATATCTTAATTTTGATAGATTCTAGTGCCTCCAAAGATTTCATTAATACCCAATATGTTAATCAATAATTAATAAAAGCATAAAAAAAAAGCTAGTAGTAGAATTAGCCAATGAAATACCTTGTAAATTATGTAGCCATATAGAAATTCAGATATATTTATTTTTAAAAATAAATATTTATTTGTTTTAACAAAGCAAACTATCCTATTAATTTTAAAGCTGTGTTTATTTCTTTTTTTATTAACCGGAATTTATAATAAAAATTTTAAATAGTAAATAAATAAAATACAATTTATTAAGATGTTACACGTAATAATTTTTTTCCGTAATGTAGATCAATTTTATATTTTGTTATTATTGATCGTTATAAGAAATTACATTTATTGTCATTCGTACAAATTTTGATTATTAATGTAAAAACTTTCTCTGTATTTTTATTCCTTAATAATAAATAAAAAAAAAAAGTGTTATAAATAATAATAAATTTGTATATCTATTTTATATCACTAAATACAATATCGATATAAAATTATTATATAATCACTAGTCAATTAAATGCTAAATTTGTGTATTGAAATTTGTGTACCTTAAAAAAATCCGATTTGCGAGTTTGTAGACGTTTTGATTAATTATAATAATGTGTGACAGTCTAACATTTTATGGTTACTATTACTATTATCCTGTTAAAATTAGGTTGGGGTTAGTAAAAAGTGGCTTATATGCTAAAATTTTGTAAGAACATCTATTAGAATACAAAAGGACAAAATTTAAACTTACACCCGATTTTTTTTAGTTCATTATAATTCTCGCATTTCGCACGTGATCTTGTAATCTAATCATTATTTTTCGGATTTTTTCCTTCAAACATTATTACAGTATTGTAATTATTGTTTCTTTAGGAGATACAGGTTAAATAATCTAATTTAACGCAAAGATAGTAATTGGTACCATCCCGTGTGTAATTGCGCTAAAAAAAAAATCATATAAATTATTAGTTCTTCATTTGGTATCTATTCACTAAACCTTATGTATATACTGTATATAGTGTAGACTAAAGGTAGCGATAGTACGTAAGGTGATGACGACTAAAAATAGAAAATACAGATCTACAAAGAATAAGGAGGTAAATTATTCACCAATGTATTAAATTTCTTTGATCAATAATTAATGCTTGGCTTAACGCAGGAGTAACAAAAATTATCCAATCACATGAGCAGTTAAAAATGTACTTTTTGTAAAACAATGAAAATTGTAAATTCTTTGTAATATTATAGTATTAAAAAAAAAAAAAGGAGTTTTATGCGATAGTTCCTGCGTACAAAGGATTATAACAAGTCTGCAAAGTTGAAGACGTTGGGAATTGACTTCCATTTTTGTTTTAATGCTTAAACTCTCATTTTGATTTATTTTTTATTTATCGCGCTACATGAAAATAATATCCGCGAATGGCCAATCAAATTTCTATAGATTTAAACTTATGCTTCGGATTCATAACGGTTTCTGTTTCCTAATATTGCATTTTTGCATATTATTTTATTTATTTTTCCATTGATATACAAGTAAGAATATCATGTGATTAGTGATAGAGGCTCGCGCGAGCCAGCCAGGTTTGAAAATTGAAATAAAGACGTGAAACGGAATATAATAAAAAACGGGTCGAATCTAACTAACACTACCATTCAATTTATCTAAGTGAGATAAAACAAAATGGTCTTTTTTAATTTTGATTACCGTTACTGAGCATATATAATATCGACATTATCTGCTATAATACTTATTCTGCTTCCGGGAGGAAAATGATTACTTTTATGCGCCTAAGTTTTGCCAATTTATATTTAAATATTCAAGTTTTAAAATAATTTATGGATAATTTACAACAGCGTTATAAGGCTTAACATGCGTCGATATACTGTAACTAGCTAGTCTATAACACATCGTTTCTTCATCTACTAAATGTGACAAATAAAAAAAAAATCTTGCACTCAAATCAAAAGTCTTCCGTTTACCAGACAATATCAATCTGTGAAATAATTTGCTAATTTTTCACCAAAAACAAATTTCGAAAAGTTATTGATGTGGCTAATCATGTTGATAGTAAACAAGAGCAAGCATTCATTCAAGCCACAGGCGTAGGAATCTTTCTTTTCTTTTACAACAAACAAGCATAAAAGAAAAAGTTTCTCACTAAGCCAATTTATCTTTAAAAAAAAAAACTTTAACGAAAATGGTGTCCACATAAAGGCTTAAAATCTAGTAATCGCTAAGCAATATAAACGCCTAATTCAAAATATTTTGTAATTAATTAACAAATTGAATACTAGGATGCTTGCGCGAATTCGCGAGTAACATTCGTTTGTTTATAAAGAATTTGACTTGCTTACAAATAACATATGAGAAGAGCAAGTAGAATCGCCGACTCAAATATCAATATCCACCTTTTCTCTTTCAAAATTTATCTTATTGAGTTTTTTTTAAAAAAAAATTGTTCACATTTATTTTTATGATTTAAGATTTTCACATAATATTTAATTACGAAGATGGCACATATTATCCTTAAAATTGCTAATTTAATAGCATTCTTTTTTCTTTTGGGTGTTAATGTCTATTCTGGTCTCGCTCCAGTTAAAGTTAGTCTTATTAAGTGCAATTGTTTGATTTGTGGTCAAGAAATTTAGGATTATGTTTTACCTATTATAAGTCTTTTAAAAGTTGCTCAAAGGAACTTTTTACGCGTATTCACACTAATATTTATACGGTTTTTTTTTAGGATGCTCCTTTAGCCCACGTCACATATATTTCTCCTGCTTATTTCACTTTTTATGTCTGGTTTCTTATTCATCTTTTGTTAACAGGATTTGGTAAGCTTTTATAATTAGTATAATCAGTTATAATTATATTTCTTATAAGTACAATTTTTCTTATTAATCATTTATTTCAGTTATTTATCAGTTCTTTACAAGTGAAGAAGAAATTATTAGAGCCATTCACTGGCATTTTGTTGGTGTTGCCTTGCTAAATACCTTATGGCTTGCTTTATGGGTAAAGATATTTAAATATATTAATTAAAATTAGTCCACATAGTCCATATCGATATCGATATTCATTTATTTATATATTTTACAGGACGACGATATGCTTTTCCTAGCATGGATCGTAGTCCTTATATTAGCATGTCAAGTAACTTACATCTATCGCGAAGTACATTTTGGTTTTGCATATGACAATTTCTTCTCCTGGAAGTACTTTTTCATCCATTTGCCATTCACTTTATACCATGCATGGATTGTTGTAGTGGTAGTTCTTACAACCTTTGCCGCTCTCACACCCGAAAAAACTTACCAAGAAGTTACAACTGATGGCACGACAACTGAAGTTCCTGATAGTCCAAGCATAATTGTACAACTTGTCGTTATTATAGGATTACTCTTTCTTGAATCGACTTCCGTTGCTTACATTGAAGCCAAAAAAGATTACGCGGGTGGAGCAGTGAGTTTTTTTTTTTAAAAAAAAAGACAATTTAATTTATTATGTAATAATTAATAAATGATTTTATTTTAGGTCATTGCTTGGACTTTATATGGCGTTTGGTGTGAACAAGAGGATGCGGTGATTCACTGGAGTGCACTTATACTCGCTATCATAGCCACCATTTATCTTTTTAAACCTTTGGTCGTGGAAATTGTTAGTGGTGGGAAAAAAGAACGGCAATCGGATGTTTGAAATTATATTATTTATTTTAGATTATATAAAAAAAATTTGTTTTTTTTTTCTTTTTTTTAAAAAAGATAAATACGATTTATCAGTATTCCCACTATTAATTTTAGACTGATTTATTTTAGAAAAAAAAAAAAAAAAAGAAAAATCGATCCATAGACAAGGAAATTAGTCGAGACAAGTTTATTTCTCGATAAACAAATAATGTTCACAAAAGATTTGTTGAAAAATGTACCAATTAAGATTTTTTTTTTTTTTTTTTTTATCTTTTAATAAATATATATAATCGTTTATAAAAATTGTTATTAGTCTATTCGAGAATAAAAGTGTGATACTACAAGAGTGATACTGGATATAATTGATATCACTGTCGCTATAATAAATGGTGGTAACGATTTTGAAGCAATAGAGCATTCCGTGCAGTGGAATTCTATAATATATTAAAAGAAACGTTAATTCCAACAAATTCAAAGAAACGAAATAGAATAATTAATAAACTATAATGTATATATATATATATTTTACCTGATATAGGAATATTGGTTCCAGGTGAGTACATGCTAAAGCTAAAGGTTGTTGAGGCTTGTAACCTTCCAGGACCACCAGTATTTTGTGGACCTCTCTCATCGTAAATATAAAGGGTATACTTACCCTCAATTAACTGAGGGTTAGTATATTTACTCGTATCCCATACGTACGTAGTGTTAATTGGATTCCAAAGATTAACTATTGTGTAATTTTGATTAGTATTCGCCCAACTTTCAGGTACAGCACATATATTCAAATATTTTGGCATAACTCCGAAATTGGATGAATAAGTCCATTTGAAAGTAACTTGATGCCCGATGGCTTGAAGTTTGTCTTGTGATGTGGGACTTGTGATTGTGATAGTAACTGGCGCTGCCCCGGGAGCCGGAAGGTCTGGAAATGCGGAGGATGAATTTGTTGATGTGGAATTTGAATTTGAAGTTGTTGAATTTGAAGTTGTAGAATTTGAGGTTGTTGTAGAATTTGAAGTTGCTGTA